CCTCAGGGGGTATTAAAGGCTTGATAGGAATAACTCCCGTATTAAACTGCCACCAACCCAGCCACTTTCCTATGGAGATCCTGGGCAGGCACCAGGCAGAGAGTTGGCAGCAGTCGGGAAAGCCACAGGGAGAGGAAACCTGGCAAGACACAGGCACGGAGATTGTTCCTTTTTAAACTGGTTTTATTCTACACCATTTTTTTAAACAACATTCATAAAACATTAATTACAAAAATGTGCTAATAGGGGGGAGGTTGGGTTCTTCTTTTTTTGTTTTTGCAGTTCAACAACCAGGAATTCACATTTTGAAAGGATACTCATACTGTTTAAGACACACATTCAAATACTTGACTTGCAGATACAAAATGTGAAGGGAATACAAATGGCTTACAAGGAGCAGATGGCACAACAAAAGGAATCATTTTGGACTTCAAGGCCTGACTTCTGCATGGAATTGTGGCTGCTTTCAGGCCACTGCTTTCAGCCCAGGACACTTTGCAGGATCCGGATGGGGCAGGAGCTTTTCCATCCGGAGCTAACACCGACCACAACAGCCCTGGAGAGCGGCAGGGCTGGAGAAAGGCACCACATCAGGCTTCACTAAGCAGGGGGTGATGGCAGCAGGACTGGAGGTCCTGCCTTCAAAACAAGCTGTCTCATGAGTTACCCAAAATTCATGCCTTGCCCCGCTGCTTTTATGTGGAGTTGGCTCCAAACCCACCCATCCGAAAGCAAATATTTGGCTTCATCCTGCTGGATTCCAGGGCAGGGGAGGGAGAGCAGGGTAATTTCCTAATTGCCCTCAGCCTCTCCAGAAATGTCCTGTCTCCAGCTTTATTAGGTTTAAATGGCTGAAACAGGATATGCTGGGAGAGTTGAGGCCTCGAGAAGCCGTGTTCTTTCCCAAACCGATTTGATTGAAGCCAAAAACCCGACGGCACTGAGGCGATCTGGCCGTCACCAACCAGCAATGATGCTACACAAAAACCTGCTCCAGTAAACAACTTGTCTTACAGGCTGTGATTAAAAATGAACAGAAAAGAGAAAAAGCTTCATTCCTTAATAAAATGGACACTAAGTCTTGCCTCTAATCCTATGGTTAAGAGCTACGCATGCCTTGCTGGTTGGAGGTGGATGGAGGGTGAGTGCTGGGAAGTATGTTACACAAAGAGGAGAAACTTCAGAGGTACAAAACATCCTTCCAAAGCCATGTTTCACACAAAACAGGAGGGTCGGTGTTTCCTTCCCTCCTGCTTTGCCTCCACAGGGAACAGGGACCCAAGCCCTGCTCCTGCAGTCAGTGCCGGTGTTTTATGACCCTGGTGGCAGGGCTAGGGTGGGAAGAGGGGACACGGGGACACTGGCAGCATCTGTCCTTGGTGGGAGCACTAAGGGCATTGCAACGTTTGCAGCGATAAAGCAACACATCACCCCAAAAGGAGCTGGGCAGGATGGACCTGCCAAAGCCCAGTGATAACCTCAGTGTCTCCACAACTAAACTCCATGGAGCCTCCGTGCCAAGCTGATAAAGCACCCGGAGCAACGGTCAATCCCTGGCCATGGGGACGGTCACCTTGCAGCCACCCCTGGGGCTCAGCCACAAACCCCACTCAGATCTGCACAGGGATGGCAGCTCTATCCATCCCTGTGTCTACTTTCCTTCCAGAGGCTCTCCAAAAGAAGGGAAACAGCTCTATTTTGGTTTATTGCTTGCCAGATGAGCCCCTCTATAATGGTACCAGCTCCATCCCTGCCCTGCGTTATGCAGAGGACATTGGAGGAGTATTTAAGGAGCACCCATCAATCACATCACTCTCCCCAGAGGTTAAACCAAAGTGCCCAAAAGAGCCACCCAAGTGTGGGTTTTGTGGCATAAAGGCAGCGGCTGGGCTGCGGGAGGGGGCTGCCCCACTTGCCTTGGCAAAGGAACTGGTGCTTTCAAAGTCATTCCAGTTTTCTGCTTCCAGCTGGATAAGGAGAAGCAAACTCCGCCAGCATGAAGATTACTGAAGCCAAAATAACCAAGGTAACCCCCAAACGAAACTGTTGAGTACAGAGGCACGTGAAAGCTGGTGATGGTTGCAGTGAAGGCTGGAGGGGGGAGGCAAGGGGCAGCTGGATCTGCCCCCCTCTGCGTCCAGAGGATTTGGTCCAAGTTACCTTTATGCAGGTTGTTACTCTGAGGTCTGTATGGCCACATACCGATGCAAATGTCAGCCAGGGTTACAATCCACCCTAAGCCTCCCAAGATGCTGAACCAGAGTGATCTGAGCAAGCGTAGATGAGATCCTCAGCACCAAATCAGACTGCCCAGTGCAAATCGCTCCTAGCACCAACGTACCAACGCCAGAAGAGACGTTCTATCACTGTGGCACTGTCAGGCATGGAAGGTCAGGAATGTCCTGGCCCAGCTGCAGGCCACCTCCTGCTCCTGGCTCCTCCGGACCAGGCAGCTCAGCCCGGAGGGTTGCAAACCACCCACAGTGGTGGGAGGCAGAGCCAAAACGTCTTGAAAGTAGGGGTCCAAACCCCATGGTACCGCAGCAGACCTGCAAAAGCCCTCAAGCTTTGATGGCAATTAGGATGTGGCCTTTCCACAGCTCCCACAGCAGGACAATGTTAGGAAACCTCAAGCCCAGCCAATGAGTGGCTAGAATTTGTGAAGTTTCAGCTCTGTGACTTCCAAACATGCATTTCCCTGGCCACAGGACCTCAGGGCAGGGCACGCTGCAATGAAGCAGCTCCCACAGATGGTTCCAGCTTTGTTTCACAACTCCAAAAAAGCTCTAAGCCATGAATCATGGCAATTCCCGAGCAGCTCCTGGAGCTGCTGCCCTGCTCATTTGCCCATCACCAGGAGACCCAAAAGCTGAAAACAAGCACCCCCCGAGCCCTTCCAGCTCGGCTGGTGCTCCCACTCCATCCCTCAGCCAGAGCAGGAGGAGTTAAACCCCAGGCCTCACTCTGCAGCACCAAAAAAACCAAAAGGAAAAGGGAAGAAAAGACAACAACTCAGTTTTGAACACCCTCAAGCTAAAGATTTAGAAAGGCAGCCCCAGCCAAGCCCCGAGCAGGGCGCTGCTGGGACACGTCCCGTGCTTGCTGTACACTTACATAAGGCTACACACGAGCCTGCAGCTCTCCAAACACCCTGGCCATGGAGCAAAGCAGGTCCCTCCCCACTCCCTTCCACCCCTTTCCCACCCAGGGCACTCAACCTGCTCCGTGGTTCCCAAAACTGGCCAAGCCCAGAGTGCCGGGCTCCACCTTCCCCTCCCATGCCAAGGGAGCAGGGCAGGAATCAGAGCCTGGCACTCACAGTGGAGGGACAAGTTTGGGGGGGTTTATTAGGACGCTGAATAAAAAGTAGTTTTCATAGAATCAGTCACAGAACAGTTCAAGTAGGGAAGGACCTTAAGATCATCCCAGTTCCAAAACCCTGGCATGGGCAGGGATGCCTTCCACTAGAGCAGATTGCTCCAAGCCCCATCCAGCCTGGCCTTAAACACTGCCAGGGATGAAGCATTTATCACTTCTTTGGGCAACTTGTGCCAGTGCCTCACCACCCTCACAGGGAAGAGCTTCTTCCTTGTATCACTGTGAATGCTGCCTCCTGTTCAGCCCTTGTTCATCCAGAGGAGGACATGGATGTGCTGGGCAAAGATAGGTAGATCCTGATAGGAAGAAACAGGAGGGGTTTTAGGACTGAGCTTTTGGCACCTATTTGCTGTCACAGCACAAGACTACAACAGGCTAAGAGGATGTTCAGGCGACCAATTCAATTTCTCCCTGTTAATAGACGTTCAAATGGCCACAATCCCACCTCTCACATGCCACGAGTCTGGTGGCATTTAACATTCTTTTAAACTGCCTGAAACTCAAGGGACAAACCACACACACAAGAGGCAGCTTTTAGCTCACAAACCAACCTCAAAATACTCCCCTTTATGTTGACAGACTACTCCAACCTTTGCCCTTCCTCTTCCCCTCTGTGTTTGCAGACAAGGTAAACCTTTCATTGCTGTTGCTCAAACATGCCTTCTCTGATGCAGAATTTGCCCTCATATTGATCAAGGGCAGGTTCTTGACCAGACAAAGATGCTGAAAGCGGTTTTGGGAGGCTGGTCCCAGATATTGGTCCAGGATAGGATGAGGGGTGGATTCCTTTGACGAGACTCACGTAGTCCATGAATGCAGCTCATCACTCGAAATCTCCTAGAGGGTTGATAAAAAGAGCAGTAGGCAGAGACCACAATTCAGGAGGGATGAACATGGGTACCACCATCCCTCTTGGGAGTCTTGCTGGCTCCTGGTTGACACAGAGCTGGTCTGAGGCTGCTGCAGCGTTAAGCACACATTGCAGTGAATGCGGGCTCCTCCTGGGGCAAAGACCTTTGCAGGCAGGCAGAGCATGTAAGGCAAGTAGAAATCTGTAGAAATCTGGCATTTGAAGCATAAATCACCTTAGGACCAGCAAGGTTTTACCACAACAAAGTTTCACGAGTGTGCAGTCATCGGAGGTTCTGCTGTGCAGCCTCCCGCTCAGGCCAGACATGGGTTTGAGGCAGCTCTGTTCGTCCTCTTGTTGGTCTGAATAAGCTGTTTCTTGTATTGAAATCCCTCATAAGCTTTCCTTCAGGGGGCATTAAGATGAAAAACATGATTTAAAGAACTTCATTGAACAAAGGCCCCAACTCACAGAAAGACTTATGATGCAATGTATTTCTTTCATTCAGTTATCAGATGGCTTTGAAGATGCCCCACTGCCAATGCTCCCAACTGAAAAGCACCACTTTAATGCCTTGCCCTAGGATAAACCCAGCAAATCCCAATGCGGACAGAGCATGGACACCATGATTCAGTTCCTGGCAATGTCCTGCCTCCCACTGAAGCTCCTGCTGCCTCCTATGGCCTCCTAAACCAAGCGATGGGTCAGCAGAGCTGTAGCAGATGATGCAATACAGGCAATGAAGGGTAATAACAGTCACAGAAAGGGGTAGAGAAGAAAGAGGCAAATGGACATCTTGTTTTATAGTCATAAACAGACACGTCACAACACACCAGTTAATTTTCCAGCTCATACGGGGACAGAAGGGCCACAAAACCACAAGACCTTCTAATGCACTAGCCAACATGGGTTAAAACCAGGACCAGAGGGACATGCGGGATCCTGAGCCTATATACAAAGGTCCCACCGCTGCTCACAGGATGGCCTCCAACGAAACTAAGTTTCAACAGCAAAGCTTTGTCTTGGTGTTACAAACCCCTACATGAAGGATGGGGGGACTGAGAGATGATACCCATGGCACACATCCCTCTTTAGGTTTCTCACTTTGTAATGGAGATGAACAAAACGAAAATCCAACAAAGGATGGTTTTGCAACCAGGATAAACATGAGCGTTGTTTCTTGCTCTCTCCTGGGTTATTATTCCCAGGAAAAGGTACCCTGGTCCTGGCCAGCACCCCGGACATGGGGACCCACCGAGGCAGGAGGACTACACAAGGCTGAGCTCTGCCTTCGTTCTGTGTGGTGGGTACCCATGGGCTGCTTTCTTGAGCTCTCTCCCTCTCCCCCTGGGGACAGGATTGACCCCGCTCTGCACAACACCACACAGGCTCTGAGTTAAACACTGCCAGGGCTTTTAAACCCTTTGGAAACACTGGGCTTCCCCTGCCAATACTAACATATGGTTATTGCTGCATAATACACAACTGGCCTTAAAAAAGAGCAGTGACACCCTGTACCCTGATCTAACTGCATCCACGCACCCATGGGTGCCCTGTGCCTGGCAGGGAAGCTGCCTCCTGGCATGAAGTGAACCCATAACACATGGGGATCCATACCAAACCCTGTGTGCCTTGATATCTCCAATGTGTCCATCTCAGCTGCTTGCCCATGGCTTTCACCTTGTGGAGCCAGATCCTGTGGGCTGTGCTGGGAGCTGCTCCTCTCTTTCACACCTTGAAAGTCCAATCATTAGTCACTGAGTAAGAAAACAGAGGTGGAAAGTGGCTAAGGGACCTGCTGGTCTCGTCCATGTATTTTTAAGGCATATTTTGCAGGAACATGTTGCTCCTGCGTGGCTCTGGTGGATGAGGGTGGAAAGACTGGAGCTGGCTGAGCTCCCCATGGTCCCAGCTGCAGCTCCCTGGTGTGTGGGAAAGCAGCGGAAAAGGAAACAAGAAGGTTAAAGCAGGACACGCCGACCATTTATTTGGTTTGTGCATTGGACCAAAGCAGCCTTTTTCCTTCTTCCGATCCGCTGGCTCCAAACCAGCCTCTGGTGCTGGACGGAAGGGGGCTGTACGGCTTGGACATGACACCCAAGTGGCACCGGTGGCAAAGGATGGGCAGCTGCTTCCACAAGCTCCATCTGCAGCCTGCTTTGAAAAGGCATTTGTTAGCTGTAAACCTCTGTTGTGACGTATAGAAAACCAGGGAGAGGAGCGGGAGATCAATCAAGTTTGGTTCCTGGTGAGAAAGTTCTCCTTAGAAAAATGGTTAAAGGGAAAAAAAAAACAACCCAAAAACAGGCTTTGAAACCAAAATTGTCCCCCAAAAAGAGCATTTCTGCTAGTTAAAAGCCTTTAACTAGAAGAACTTTGTGTGGGTTTTTCTTTTACAAACATAGTGCATCTGCAATCACTGGGAATTACGGTCCGTTGAGGAAAGGACCTGTGCTTGGGCTATGGACAGGCTGCTGGTGGTGACAGTGAGTGTCAGTGAGCGGGGTGTTATATGTGTGCTTCAGAGGCTGGACAGCCTGGCAGCAGCTCCCCGTTCACCACCGCCTCCGAGGACAGCATCTTGTCTTTGCCAGAATCCAGGCGCTGCTTCTTGAGCATCCTCTGATGGACCAGTGGGACAACAGAGAGCACCAAGCCGCCGATGATGGGGGGGACTCCGGCAAAATAAAAGGCTGCGTCGTAATTCCCAAAGTAATCATTGAGGTATCCTGGAAGAAAGGAACAACAGTGATTATAGCCATGTCAGTCCAATGACCAACTTGTTTCCTCCCTTGAGTGCTCCAACCATCAGATCTGGGTTTTTAAACCAATCCTTTTTCCACTGCATTCCTTGGAGTTTGTATGCCCCTGATTAAAGGATGTGCACAGCCAGCACTGTGTAGCAAGGAAGCCAAGGAAAGCCTCAGCTGTCCTTCCTATTTAACCAGAACAGGACACAACTGGCACACATCCCAAACAATCCCATACACAAGCTGAGGCAGTGTTAAACAGCCAAACATTTCAGGTGACTCTTCCCAGTGCCTCGCTGGCCAGGATCTCATAAGAAAAATGGGCAGAGGCTGTTCCTCTGCAGATGACCTCCATCTGGAAGGCAAACCTCCTTGGTTTGCTTATGGATATTTTATCTACATGGGGATTTCAGTCAGTTACAAACAATAACCGATCCCTTAAAAACCAGTGGGGTTCTGCACTTGTTGGTTTGACAAGTTCTGACACAGCCAGGAATCCTTGGAGAATAACACATTGCTATTTATCAGCACTGGAATATCACTCCTGCCTGGGGATTATGTCCATGAAACGAGCCCCTTCACTCAGCAAGCCTGATGCAAAGGTACTGCATCTGCAACCCCATGTTCCTTCACAGGGGTGTTAAACTGAATTTGGCTGCCAGAAGCAGAGAGATCAGAGGCACTTAAACAGCTTTAGCTTTGCAATTGCTGATGCAGACATTCTGCTGCTCAAGGGCCAGCTTCATCAAAGTGCTCACTGTCAGGGACATTGTGGTTGTTACTATGCTTAAACCCATACCCAAGTCTTGGGAAGACATAGGTTCAGGTGGTTCCATCTTTTACTTTGATTCAACAGTCCAAGGGCTGAAGTTATCTGTTAGCCATCAGTCTCCAGATATCTAAAATGACTTCTAAAAAACTAATTATCTGCAATTTTTAAACTCAGATTCAAACATAAATCAATCCATGTGATCTTGGGTCACTCTCACTGTTCCCCCTCTGGTCACCTTTCATCACCCTGGAGAAAGGCCCCAAGATGCTACAGGACATAGTAATGAAGTGATGCTACACCCATACTTCAACCCCCGTGCAACATGATAACTCAGAAAATTCAAATGTATTCAATATATCTCATCTAACACCAAAATATCACCAGAGCTGAAAGCTTCTACAAGGATCTGCTCCCTCCCAACAGTTGGGTCCAGGTCCAGCACCGCAGCACTACCCACCTGCTATCGGCGTACCCGCGGTCATGGGTACAGCCATCAGCCCCATGAGGTACCCTATGCCCTGGGATGCCTGCATGGGCCCCACCAGCTCGAAGGCAATGGGGGCCATGATGGTGGTGAAGAAGCCATCGCAAAGGCCGAGGAAGAGGCAGATGACAATGACACCCTCAAACCCTTGGCACTGGGGAATCATCATGCAGAGGATGCCCAACAGCACAAAGGATGCAACCTGGGGAGAAAAAAGTGGGCATGTCAATGGGGTGCAGGATGAGTGGGGATGGACAGCAGGAAGTATCATGAAGACGATCCTGAACGGGTCAATGGCATCGCCGCCTCCTCTGGACCCAGCAATGCCATCCAGCCTCTGCTCTCATCTCGGAGAGGCCTTTATGAATAACCTTTTAAGAAGCTTTGGGAAGGATTATCTGCTGGATTAGCTGCTACATTTCAGCAGTTTGTTCTTCAGAAACCACAGGAAGGTGAGAGGCTGTCCAGCAATTTGGGATGAGCTGGGACAGCAGATTGTGATTGCTGAACGGACACCAAGACCCCAAGTCAAGCGTGTTACTTCTCTGCGCACCTTTCTATAATAAATATTCTTCCCTAAAAGCAGACACAGGTGTTAGCTAATAACCAGAAAAGGATTTGCAGTCTGTAGTTGACAGTGATTAAGCAGAGTACAAATATTGATGCAGAGATGCTACCCCCGACCCACAGTAGTTAGCCAGCAGCTACATGGAGGGCTGGACACAACATACCTGCAGGTAAATCTTCTTCAGCCCAGGAATGCAGTCACCGATACGGCCTGCAGTCAAGCGCCCCACCCCTGACATGGCTCCAAGGCAAACAGGGAGGATCCAGTCCTTCTTGGTTTCTTGAAATCGCTTCTCCACGTATTTTACCTAGGATGGACGGAAGGATGCAAGGATGTGAATCCTCAGTTAATCCCTCTCGTATCCTGAAAAAGGGATGAAACTTCCCACAGAGAGCTTGTGGTTGTGTGACCCTCATGTCTACACCAAGCTGACCTGCACGCATCAACCCAACAGCCTCCTCTTTTCCTGTTACCAATGCTTGTTCTCAGGAGCCGTGTGAAGCGACCATTCTGCACACCCAGGCACAGAGAACACACAGCAGCATTAATAAGCTGCTTCCTCCCATCATTCTCCCTGTTTACAGGACATGCCTGCAGCAGTTTCTTAGCTTCAAGGCTTTTGGTGGCCCTTTCCCTAATGCCCATCTCCACCTTCCCACCTCTTCCGTGCCTGCATAGAGAGGGACCTCCCTTCAATTCCAGTCCTAGCCAAGGCTCTTACCAGGTTTGTGTAGGGTACGAGATATCCCAGGACAGCAGTAGCGATGCCAAAGGCCCAAATCCGATAGGTCTTCCTCCGGAAAATCCTCAAGTTGAAATACTTGCGTGTCTGGGACCAGCATTGCTGCCGCATGCTCCGGCTGCCCAGCTTGTCCTGCCCATCCTGCCGAGAGTCACAAGAAGGCAGCAAGATGGGCCGATAGGTCATGGACAAGAATATCTGGATGAGCATTAAGGCACTGAGTATTTGGAAAGTATGTGCCAGCCCAACGGCTTCCCCAACAACCTTCAGGAAGAAGGGAAGTGGCACGGAGATGAGGCAGCTGCCGCCGGCCACGATGCCGTTGGCCAAGCCAAGGCGGCGCTTGAAGTAGTGACCAAGGATGACCAGCGAGGGCTGGAAGGCGAAGGAGCTGCCACAGCCAAAGAGGATTCCATATGTGAAATAACGAACTTCCAGAGACCTAGTGGGGAAAAACCCAAAACACATGGAGGTGGTTATGTTACGCGCAGGTAAGGAAGCCTTCTCCCCTGTGGTCCCAAGTCAAGACCCAGGTTTCACATGCCACAGGTGCTAGACAGACAGCCTGGCCTCAACGAGCTTATTCCTTAGCCAAAGCAAGGATTATCCTCATTTCCCAGCTGGCACTTTAAATCTTCCAGAACATGAAGGCTAGCTGGGGAGTGCTTTCTGCAAAGAGGAGAGGGCAGCAGCTGACCTGCCCTCCTAGGGAAGATGACCTAGCATGATGGTTTCAAGCAAGGTTTTCTGAAGGTAGCCAGGGTGGGTTATTTTTAGCTGGAAATACATTTTTTTTCCCCACTGAAAGGACTAATTGAAAACATTCTGCACCCAGTGTTTGAAAGCAGAAGGCACCGGCCTTGCTGGTTATTAGGCACTTAGGAAGGAAACATTGAGTTTCTGCCCAGACTCCAGGCTGGTTAATTAAGTTGTTGTTCTTTAAGCTGCTCTGGGACCTTCAATTAGACAGTTAATCAATCTCATTTGTACCTTACACTGGTAGCTGCTCTCAAGAAGGGAGCAAAGTGGCTGCTCTACACAACAGGTGGAGAGCCCTTGGATGGAGCCATTTCCCAATTGCCAGCCCAGTTTTGTCAACAAAAGCAGCCGAGAAAGGAGCCTAAATTTAGGCAGTGCAAATAACCCATTGTGCTGCTCACGAGATGAAAGACTTCTCTTCATCCCCATGCAGTATACTCAGCTGCAAGAGTCTGGGAAGAGAGTGTGATGGGACCTTTTGGGCAGCTCACCCGCCATGCATGCTGCACAAACAGGGTCTTTACACCAACTCTCAGACCAACTCGTGCGCTACTGAGAGCTGCTCATGCAGGAAACAAGAAGACAGCAGCCCAGATCTAATGGAGAGTTTGAAGCTGAGAAAACGTTTACAACCTCATCATTTCTTCCATTACATGCTTGTCCCTTTAGCTAGCCAAGCAGAAAGCAGAGCGCGCTTGCTGTACCCAGCGGCTCAAAGACAAATGACTGTCACAAAAGGCAATTTCCAGCTACTCTAGAGTGAAGCCACATCAGAAATCCCCTCTGCAGGAGCCAGGCAAGCAGCTGGGCCATGCAGGCTATCACTGACCTCCCACACACCAGCCCTGGCCATCTCAGCTGGGTCACACCAGCTTTGGCACACCACTAAGCTGACGTGTTGGATAAATGGAGACAAATGCTGCGGTTGGCCATCTGCTCTGTGCTGATGCTAAGACACCCCTGCATGAGCATGGGCTCCTTTTAGCTATGCTTTTTAGCCAGGATTTCCCACCCTGCTTGCTGGGAATTGGCCATCTGCCGTGTGGCGGGATGGGCATCATCTCCCTTGTTTAACAAGGTCTCCCATGGTGATGATGAGTGCAGGAGACACCCTGATGTGTGCAGCAAAGAGAAAAAGCTTCACCCCAACCCCACCCAGAAAACTTCAGCCTTTCCCAGAGCTCTGCTTTTCACCATATTTTGTTCCTTTAGTGGTTTCCATATGAAACTCCCAATACTTTGAGAACAGGAGGTACTGAACATGAGCTTTGGAGGCTCATGGCTGAGTGGGGTTCTGGATCAGCTTGATCCAGTGCTGGGAACACCCTGAACCTCCACTTGGACAAAGCAAACCCATTTTAGAGAAATCAGGGTATAAAGGCTTGTTCAGGCTTGATCCAACCCTGCCTGAGCCCACCAAACCCAGGCTGTGTCTCCCTTTACAGCAGCAGCTCTTGAACAGCAGCTCCCTCTGCATCAGTGCATGTAGCACAGCTGGCAGTGAGTGGGTCATCCCCAGCTGTGGCTGGGGGAGCTGGCAAGGGGGATCAGGAAGAAAAGCTTCTCCATTGTTCTGGGTGATCAGGACTTGCTAGCTCCAAATTTCAGGTCTGGCCTTCGCCATCCAGATGGAGCAGTGCCAAATCCCACAGCCATGCTGCTCTTCCTCTAGCTCGGCTGTGCAGAAGGCAGCTTCCCTCGTTGCAGTCCAGCTGCAAAGAGGCTCCTTTCTCCCTTAAAAGGCAGCCAAAGGAATGTGAACTGAGAGCAAAAAGGCAGGAAATGGGAATTTCAGCTCTGGAGCTCTCCTGGAAATAATACTCCTCTCTGTCTGTGCCGTTGGGTTCTTTTTAAGCCAAACACAACGAACCACTGGCAGCGATACGGTCCCAAGAGCTCGTTTTCTTTGCACGAACATTTTACAAGAGGGGGGAGAATATTACAAGCTTCGTTGATTAGAAGGAAAGCAAGGTTACATGGGAAGCGCCTGTGATCTGCACTGCCAGGAGCCCAGCATCCCTTCAGGACTGACTGCACTTTCTATGATTACTATTATCTTTAGGAACACAAAGGGGTGGCACCTGCAGAGGAAGCTGTGGAGTGTGGTTCTTTCCACACTGGTGCCCATGCTGCTTCCCAAGGTGGTTTTAGCATTCCAAGGCCACTGGCTGAAGTTTGCCCCGCCACCCAATCCCCCTCCATGTAACGGGGGGCTCCCACAGCTGGGGACCTGGGGACCCATCACATAGCACCCGTCCACAGGGAACCAGGGCTGGAGCAAACACGAAGGCTTCAATGACCAGGGTGAAAGGGAGCTAGTGGACTGCTATCCTGTGAAGGCAAGGTGAGCAGGGAGGAGCACAGCAGAGGCAACTTGCTTGCTGGGAAACTAGTGTGTACCTGCTTTAAAAAACCCCACTTAAAGTATTTTTCATTAAAGCAATATAGATTTTAACTGAAATCCAACCCAAAGCAATGCTTTTTCTACAGAAAAATGATTCTTTGGAGGGTGTCTCCATAGTGCCCTTGAGACACCATTTTAACAAGTGCTGCATAAAGGAGCACAGAGGTGACATCTTTTTGCTCCCACAAAGATGCAAATGTCTTGGGTTGGAAAGACTCTCACACCAAATCAGATATACCTAACATCCAAATGCACCCCCAAACTCATTAAGCATTAATTTACTTTCAGTGCAAAATGTGAAATTTGTTGCAAAAGAGAATGGTTTTGCCCACGAGTGTCTCTTTGGAGCTGCCTGCAAGAGGCACCATCAACTTCTCACTGTGTTTTAAAGGTCAAATGAAGGACCCAAGAGCTGAAATCCCATAAGCTAAAGCACCTCACTCTTGTAAAATTTGCTCTGTTGTTATACAAGGACAAAAGAGCAACTTGGTTCAGTTTGGAGAGTAACAGGCTGAGCGCACGTGAGCTGCACATGGGCTGTAGGGATGCCAGGAGCCCTCTCACCTGGATGGACACCACCTGCTTTGCCCCAAAAGGCAGCAGCAACATGTAGGCAGAGGGGTTGGGGGGAACAGCGAGGAAGAGGAGCTTGCTGAGGAGCTGGGTGGCCTCTTTGCAGCCTTACTTGGTGAAGGAGCTGGAGAGCAGCCCGATGAAGGCGATGGCAGCTCCCGTTGCTGCCGTGGTCCTGCAGCCGATCCGGTCGGTGAAGATGCTGACAATGGGAGAGCAGAAAAAAATCATGCCCATGGCCAAGGAGCCGACCCATGCTGGGAAGAAAGAGAAGAAAGGTGATGGTCAGGGTGGAACATTAAACAGGGGCCAGGAGGGGAAAAAACAGGGACCAACTCAAGCTTTGAAGGTGGCCATTCAGAGAAGCAGCCCCACCACGCTGTTACTAATGGCACAGCTCACAAAGAACACTGTTATCAACTACACTGCCCACCAGCATCATGGACAGAGTGCAATCTGCAGTATCTCACTGGTCAGATTTTCCTTCTATTCCTCTCCACTGGGTTCACACGTGTCATAGGGAAGGTGTTGAGCTTTCCACGCCTTTTTCCTAATGGCCCTTGTGTGATGAGGAGCCCTAATGATGCTTCCACTTATGCTGTTTCCATAAGGACCCCCCCCAAGCTCCTCAGAGCCCTCTGCTCCCTGGCTTTAGGTATAAAGGGTTTCCTATCTTGAGCTATAGCTCTGTGTTCCCAGGTACCACACTCATCCAATCACCACTCCCCAGGGACAGGACTGCCTCACCTGCCCCTTGCCCCATGTTCAGTGGGGTTTTCTCACTGCAGCTGAGCTGATGGGAGACACATGGGCTGTGCCAGGTCAGATCACAGCCCTGGCCCTGCCAGGTGATGACCAAGTGAACCATGATCTCATGTCTCCTTCCAACCCACCTCTGGAGAAAACCACTGTCTGTCTGCCTTTTTTTTTTTTCCAGAAGCTTTTATTATTCCCAGATTATTTCAGCTCATCATCTTCTCCCTGCCCTCCGCTGTCTTTAACGGTTTCTGTGACTATTTCTGGGAGGAAAGGCAGGATTTCAAGAAAAGCAATGTGGTAAGGAAAAACATCTCAGTTTACCAGCTCCAAGGAGAAGAAAGCAGTCCCCTTTGGTGGGGCATGAGGCAGGATGGACAGAAAAGGGGGCCCCAGCCCTACCTGGCACCAAGTGGAGGGACCTCCTGGAGCATCTCCCAGCTCCAGCTCTGGGCTGCCAAGCACAGTCTGCCCCACACAGGCCCCCAGACATGTGCTCCCTGCTTTTTTTAATCCCTTTTTTTTGGGCTGTTGTTTTTTGCACCCAAACCAAACACTTTACAAACCCTTTTAGCACAGCCCTGCACAATAACAACCCCTCCTTCGAGAGCCGTGAGATCTTCAGAAAATAGCCAGGTCCCTTCAGAAAATAGCAAACCCTGGTTCTATAAGAGCCTCTCCAAGATCTGCCTTTCAAAAAGGACCACACAAAGAAGCCCCTGCTAGCCTGGGAAGAACTGACCCTTCCAAATTAATTATAAGTTTTCTAGGACCCAATTTAATCTGAAGTCTTCCTTAAGAAATGCAGAGCAGAGCAACGAAAAGAAAAGCAAGGTCCGAGCTGGAACCTCGTGGGACTCGCCAGGCTCTTGTCTCAACACCAGGCAAAATACAGAAGGGTGAGGGAGACAGAGAGGACCCCCCTCTCCAGCTGATTTTCTTGGTTATAAACACAAGGCACAGTGCAATGAAAGTCCTTCTAATAGGATTAGGTGGCACGGCTCCAAAGAGCCGTCCAAAACAACTCCGAGAGGGGGTGAGGGGTGGGAGCAAAGCCAAGATGGAAAAGGCTCGTTAAATTGGATAATATACTTCCAGAAATGTTCCTTCTACTCCAGCCAAGGCAGTAAAACGTTAGATGGCCCCATCATGTTTGAAGTTTGTTATTTTTGGAAATTACTTTAAGAAACGCGGAAATAAAAGCATAAAGCAAAGTATTAAATTTAAAGGGCCAGATTCAGAGCTTAATAATGCAGAGATTTACATGCAAATAAGCAGTATCAATCTCTGGCCCTAAAAACACGCACTCACCTGCAGAGATCAAAGCAAACCCAGGGCGAGAGGCTCAGCAACAGGCGCTTAAAAGCTCCTCCAGCTTTGGGTTTGTCAAAAGGAGATAGCACTCAATTAAAACCGGTAAACACAAAAATAGAGTCCCGTGGCAAATTGCTCTACCTTAGAGAAAGGGCTTACCACAAGCAATGAATAAAAATAGGCTTGGGGAAGAACATAAAGTTAAAATTAGTAAGAACAATAGCCTCACTTCCAGAGCGGGGTTTTGTCTTCCCAGCGAAGCCCCGGGAAGCCAGGAGGGCTGGGCGAGCTCCAGCACTGGAAGGAAACCTCAGCAAGATCTGGGGGCAGCAGAAAGCCACCTTGGTCCCAGCTCTGGTCCCAGCTCTGGTCCCAGCATGGTTCACACCAAGGGAGCCCCTGGAAAAGGAGCATTGTGAGTCCCTCACCATCAATTTATCCTCACTGTGATGGTGGTGATCTCCTTCACCTGGGTCAGGGCAAGGCTGGAGGAAAGCCAAGGCAGAAAACCACAGGTTGGGATAAAAATGAGGTTCAGGTGAAGTGTGGCCCCAAACCTGCACCTTTAGACAGGGAGCTGGAGTCTCTGGATCCGCTCCAGGGAATGAGGGTTTATTTTTAGCCATGTGTGTAACACAGTATTGGAGTTTCTCCTGGATTTTCCTAGACATGAAGGGCAGAGGCAGCTATTCCTCTGGTGGAAATGAGACAGGGCTTAACCAGCCTGAGTCAGGGCTTCCCTTCGGCAGCTCCTCCGATGCTGGAGAAGTTACGACTTGATTTAAAGCCCACGGGATAAAAATAAAAAGAGGGGAATCTTTGCTTCTGATTTCCATAGGGTTTGGATGAGATTGTTAATTCCTCACCCGGCCACACCTCGCAACCCTCTGTGGCTGATAACCTGGGCCAGATACTGAAACACACCAAAGACAAGCCCCCACAAGAGGTGTGAAGCCTTATCAGTGGCATGGTGCGATCAAGCAGATCCTGAAAGAAATGATGGACTGAATCCAGCTGGTGATGGGGCTGGAAGGAGCTCAAGAGCTGCTCAGAACTTGGACAGGATTCAGGTTGAGGCTTGACTGAGTCTCAAGGTGCCATGAGTCCAACCACGTCCCTGGAGCGTCTGGTTTTGGAGCTGCCTGGCTGAATGCTGCAGGGGGATCTGGCTGGTATTGGCCAAGAAACCCCTCTCCAAAGGTTGCCTTTAAGGAAACACCAAAAGCTTCAGAAACCACCTCTTTAGGGTTTGTTTCTGGGGTTTTCTTTTAGGGGAAAAAAGCATTTAAAGTGATCTCCTTTTTTGAGGAGGAGCAAAGATGACTTCTGATTTGGGGCTGATAGCATTAGAAGTAGCTCCACACATGCTGTCCCTCCCCAAAAGCCATCTCCCTGCTCACCCTGCTTGGCACTGTGAGATACATCAAGACCAGCCCTACCCATGCCACCCTGCTCCCACCCAAAATCCCTCCTGAAGGCAATAAGACAGGAGCTGGGGAGCCGTGACTGCCCCTGATAATGTACCGCATTCCTCGCTGCTTACTCTGGCAGGGATCATGACACCCTGCTGCTATCCAGGTCACCGGCAGCCTCCAGAGCTGATGGGACCTTCCTGGTGGTCCTAGGGATGCTTTGAGGTATGGAAAGAGCCCATCATGGGGTGAGTGCCCCTTTGTTGGAGCAGAGAGGTTGACCAAGGGGAGCAGCATCCCACCAGCAGCCCTCCCACAGCATGATCACAGAGGGTGAAGCTCCAGCTATTCAGGGTGGGAATTATTTTTTCCCACCTTGACTCACAAAGACAGCCAAACCGTTGGCCTATGGCAGGTCCACAGCAAAGTGTCCTTCAACACAGACACGGGAATACAGTGGCTGAGGATCTCCAAGAAGAACATGATGCAGTGATCTGGGAGATGTGGCCAAGCTGAACCTTCATCCCTGGCACCGCTCACTCTGGGCTCAAGGCAGTAGAAACTGGGCAGGTGACTCATCTGACCACCAGCCCAACATCACCAAGCTGTGCTGATGATGGAGCTATGGTACCAGGTGTGCTTCAGCCACCATGTTCTCCTCCTGCCAGAGGGTGCCAACGCTGCTGCAGACCCAGAGGAGGACTGGCACATGGGGGTCAGGACCTGCAATAGGGCTGGTGATGCCAACGGACCAGGGAGGGCTGTGAGCACCATGTCCACATGTTCATGGCAGCAAGAGATAAGGCAGGACCCGTGGGGTCAGTCCAGGCAGGTCCCACTTGCCAGACACCGGATCAGCTTTCTTTCATGCGTGGCCATCCCAAAAGGATGAAAAGCTCCTTGATGGCTTTTTCCTGAGCCGAATAAGGTTTCTGGGAGCGGAGCAAGGTGGGTGGCAGGAAGGTGAGAAACAACAGGAGAATACATCACCGCTCCGAGACGCAGATCCTGGTATTTAGCTCATTGTTCCAAAAAACATCATTAAACCCTCGTACTGCGTAGCACTTGCGGCCAAGCCTATTTGTTCCTTTAAAAATTAATCTCCAGGGAGAGAGAAGGAAGGGACGTCGCTCTCAGACGTGCTTCCCCGCTGACCCAAATACCTCCGGCTGGAGGGATCAAGGGCCAGGAGGTGACCTCAGATCCGCCACTGGAGGAAGTGTCTTCCCTCGCTTCCCGCGGCTTCTCCCGCTTGTGCGGTGCAGCCAGGACACGGCGGCTGCCGGAGGGGATGGGGACATTCTGCAGCGGGTCGCCTTCCCCCGGCACTTGGCATTTCTTGGATGAGAGATGCGGCAGCCAAAGGTAATTCACTTCCATCTCCCCATCTGCACTGCTTCTCCAAGGAATAAGTAGCCCCTTGACTCCCATTTTCTGAGGACAGGGAAGCTCTGCTAGCATGATAAACCTCATCACACATCTCCAAAGCCCTTCCCAGCCCGACCTGGATCCCTTTGCGGGTGGCCTGTAAGTCCAAGCAATCTGATGGCCCTACCTACATAGACACTGTGGGGAAGCAGATGACTGTACCCGTCCCCTGTGGAGCTGATGCATGCCACTCGCCGCACATCTGCAGTGGAAATGAAGCAGCTGTTTTATCTTGTGCCCTTAAAAAGCAATTTGCGTCATCCTCTTGCTCAAAGTACAGCCTGAAATGCTCCCGGCGGCTTGGCCCCATGTGCTCAACACCCCCCATGGACCGAGCCCATCCCAGC